GTGTGCAGAGGAAAGGGGTGACTACTGTGCCAAGACGCAGCAGAGGGAGACACTTTGAAGGCCTCCTCTATTAGTCAAGCCCTCGTGGGGTCAGGGGAGTTCAACAGAAACAGACAGAACTGACTGTCCTGCAGATTCATTTGTGCCAGCTGCAGAAACAGAGGAAAAAACATGAATTGACTGTTTTACTGTATGTACACACACTGTGATCCTGACACCTGAACACTGGGGCCATCCTGCCACAGTGCCTGGATGAAAAAGCCTCTTTACAGCTTCCAAAGCGTGAGACTTGAGTACGCAGCTGAGTTACTGGGTACGGCGTAGTCAGCCACAGCATAGTTTTATGAGGCAGAGCATGCAGATTTAATAGCTCAACTCACCTGAAAAGGGGACTTTCTGGTCTTTCTCTGATCCTGTCTGTGTCTTTTTTCCCCTGATGAACTCATGCCAGCGTGATTGCTCATCAGATACCCTGTGAGTCACTTCAAGTTGTTAAAGTTGCAGGGAAAAACAGCAGCACACAAGAAAAGAGTTGAATTGTTTCCTGCTATTTTAATTTATTAAAACAGCTCTTGGAAGGGCCTGATGCTAAGCCAGAGCTATTACTGGGCAGGGGAGAAGAGTGGTGACTGCCCAGCCAAGGACAGGAGCCACTAGAGTAAGATCAGCTGCTTGTGGATCTGTACCCTTAACAGCCTGCCTGGCTGCTTTGCTGGATGTTTGAGTCCACCATTTCACAGTGGACAAAACCGTTGATCAGTGGGTTAATACCAGGGCAATAGCCCAGCACACAACTGGTACAGAAGGAAAAGAAAAAGTGAATAGTAGATTAATAGTATAAATTGGAAGGCTGCTGTTTGTTATAGCAGGAAGCCTACTCACAGCCAAAGTTAACAAGTACGATATATTGAATTATAGAATCATAGAATAATTTGGGCTGGAAGGGACTTTTAAAGGCCATCTAGTCCAACCCCCCTGCAGTGAGCAGGGACATCTTTAGCTCAATCAGATTGCTCAGAGCCCTGTCCAACCTGACCTTGAATGCTTCCAGGGACAGGGCATCTACCACCTCTGTGGGCAGCCTGTTCCAGTGTTTCATCATCCTCATTGTAAAAAATTTCTCCCTTATAGCTCCTAAATCTGCTCTCTTATTTTAAACCATTACTCCTTGTCCTGTCACAGCATACGAGTTTACTATCCATTGCACATTTAGATTTTATGGAATGAATAAAACAATTATCAGGAAAGCTCCAGCAACACCCACTGTCTTTTAGATTGCAGCCATTTTCCTCACCTTCAGTGCTGAAAAGCAGTGCAGGAAAGGAAATGGAAATCCAGGAGCCCAGACCTGAATCTCGTTACTGGCTCAGTATGGAGAGGGTTAGTTCCCAAGGTCAGCTGTTCAAGACAGATCCCAAGATTTTGAACTTGAGAAAGAAAAAAATAAGCAAACCAGTTGAGTTCTGAAATTTTCAGACCTGTCATTTTACACTCAAGTCTTGCCATGTGTTCATTGTTGCATGGGATTCAGGAATGGTTTTAGAGATAAGTAACTTCCGTGTAGGAAGACCTTTTGACAGTCTAGTTTCTGCAGCTGTAACTTGTAAGATGATGTAGCTAACTGGCCTGTGAAAGGAGGAATGGCAAAAAGACTCAGAAGCGTGTCTTTTAACTCAGCCCTTTCTGCCAGCAGTACACTGCTTGACATAGGTCACTGCTAGTATGTGTGTGTTAGCATACCTTGACAGAGCTAAGATTCAAAACTTAACTGTCCTTTTATTCCTTATTTCTCAAGTCTGTCTATCCTGTTTATACTAGTAGAGTAGGATTTGGTATCAGCTTGTAACTATCCCAAATCAAGGTTGCGTGAGGCTTTTGGGGTGCCCAGGTCAAGATCTGAACATACTGTAGAGCTTAATAGTTCCATCAAAGCCCTGATGATTGTACATGGCCTTAGGGATTTCCACTAATTGTCTGCTATTTTCACAAGCCCTGCTGGCTGTCATCGCAACTCACAGCTTTGTTCTACATACTGCTCATCATTCTAGGATTTTCTTTAATACAGGAAGCTTTGTTACTGCACTTTTTTAAAAAAAAGTTAATCCATGTGATGCAAATGACTGGTGGAGTAGCTATTAATGAACTTCACTCCGTTGTTTAGTTACTCTAATCAATTCTGCAGCAGGCATGTGTGAAAACAGGTACGTACAGAACCTGTCCAACCTGAATGCCCTGTCTAAGGAAATTTTTCAAGCATGTCATTAAAGTATCTACTGCTGCGGTTAAAAACACAGTAGACCTACATTGATCATATTTGTCATCCCATGAGCATAGAGACAGATTCTGCCAGCCCTGCTGTGGTACCAACAATCAGAAGTTAAGGGGTTGCATACAGAATTTATGTGAATACATAGGAGGTTTTGGAGCAGCATCATTGAGGATTTGGGTCAGTTACAACTGTGGGGAGGTTAGCAGCAGGTGCTGACTACTTTGACAACAGAAAATTGCCTTTTCTAAAGCAGGGTGATGTACAGGAAAAGTTGATGCTCAGCAGGTCAGAGTGCCTCACCAGTCATAGATGAAAAGGAAATTCTGAAGACAGAAGTAGAAGAAAGCTGACTGGTCATGAATTCTCAACTTCCAAGTTCCCAAACATATTTAAAATTTATGTTTCCCATAATCAAATGGTCTTTCCTCCCTGTAGACTTGTAAGAACTGCTTCCTGATAGAGCATCTATGAAATCAAGAGTCAGCCCTTAAAAAGGGAAATGGCCGCCTGCATCCAACACCGTCCAGGGGTCCTGAGGACCTAAGTTGACTCCTTGTATTTGGAAGGCATCTTGTACAGCTCAACTGAGCAGACAAAAAAATACCTGATCCAGTTCCAATGAATGTCCTGTACAGCTATTACTCTTTCAAAATATTTTTAACAGTCCTGGTAAAGTGATGACTCTGTACCCATTAAAGGCATTGAGTCTTTTGTCTACATTGTTTGAGTTTGGTACAAGGAGTTCCAAATCCTGTCTTATGGACCAAGATTAAAATTTCTCCTTACATTTAGCTTCACAAATATTTCCTTTGAAATATTTGAAGCCTCCTGAACAGATTTGGTAGCCAGCATGGTTATTGCCCTTCTTCACAGAAATGGTTGTGCAGAAAGGTCAAGGAAAAGGCATGTTGTCATATAGAAATCAGCATCACCTCTGAAGAACACATACATAGAACTGCACACTTAGTTCCTCCTCAACAAGAGCTCTTGGTCTTCTCTGCCTGCTCTACCTAATTCTTTTTAGGATATGAAATCTGTATATGTGTGCACTTGTGTGTACATACATATACACACACACACTGAAACATGTCTGGCCTCAGATACTCTATTCCCAGGTATTACTGCCATTATCACCACTCCCCTTTGTGCTCCTGGGATGGTTTGCAAGGCCATGATGTGGATGGGCTCAGTACCTACCTACAGCTGCACCAGCAGAAGTGAGGGGACCAGTCTGGGTACAGGGGGAAGCAGGAACTCCTGAAGTGGGCAAAGGCCCTTGTCAAACCATGGCAAGCACCTTCCCATGAGGAGCAAGTGGCAGCAGGAAGGTCCTCATTACCTGAGCCCTCTGTGGAGGGAATAAGAAGGGGCAGAGTAAGAACATCCGATAATCCTTCATGGTGGTTGTCACCGGCTTTCTTCGATAGAAGCATCTGTCAACACAAGAGAGGAATTTGTCTAACTCCCTTGCGTGGTGCTTCAGCCCTTTCTTTTCAAGCCCAGACAGCTTTGGCAGCGACGGAGCCATTACTCAAGAGGAAAATGCCATGCTGATCAGTGTTAGCAGCATGTAATGAAAGTCTGTATGCAAGCCACAGATCCTGCCCCATTTTAAAGACAAATATAGGACCACTGTGTCAAGCATCTTAAGTTCTTGTCAGGCTGCAGTGGAATAATAAGATTCACAATTCTGTAATTAACTTCAGAACTTGAAGAGCAACACGTGTGATACACTAAGGGTTTTCATTTCCCGAATAGGCAAGTCTAGCTATGCTACATTTAAGCATCCGTCATGTTTACTAATCTTAGTCTGACCCCTAGTGAGCTGTCACAGAATAATCGCATGTATCTATCTTCACCTTCTGTCTATCTAGCTATGCTGCACCTTCCTGACAGGCAACTACAAAAAAAGACGTAATTTATCCACTTTTTTTTCTTTCTTTCTTAAAAACCCCTTTATTACCTGTATCAGTAGCACAACATAAGAAGAGAGGAGTCAGCTCAGAAGTCATAAGGCTTTCTGCTGAAGGTGGGGTGTGGAAGAGAACACGTGATCCAGTATCAAATTCATTTAACTTACCTCTGCATAGAAGGTGGTTTTTGCCTGCTTCCTTCTCCTCCTTTTGTTTTTGTGCAATCAGAAACTGCTGCTTCAGATTTATGAAGAGTTTTTTATCTCTGAAGGAAATGAAGTGGAAGTTGCATCTGGTTAGATAATAAGTTTAAATTAACAAACACTTAGACAAAAAAAAGGGTGTAAGTTAAAGGAGTAAACACATTTTAAAGGACCTAAATAACTTGCACAATCTTTTAAGCCATTAGAAGCTTCTAGGTTTTTGTCGGCTTTAACCTCAGCATTTTGTTCATACTGGATATTTCTTGCTCCGTGTGTTTATGCCAAGTAGTTAAGGCCAAAATACAATCACTGTGCGCTTGCCTTGGCAGTAACACAAGCACCGTAAAATTTTTATGGATTTCTTTTTCTGCATGAAGATCCATTTATCAAGCACACTGACAAATTAAAAAAAGTAATTTGCCCAACCTCTGAAATGTACCCAGGAGAGCTCACGCTTTTTTTTTTTTTTTCCTTTAAAGCAGTGCCCTTCTGTAGCTGTAGCCAAGGGGAGTCTCAGTAATAGCGCTCTGTCTATGGTTTTGGTGTACCTCTGTCACCCCCAGTTTGCACAAGACATGATTTTGACACCTATTCCCGTCTTTCTGCTCGTTACAGGCATTTTAAAGTTTGTGGAAATCACGGTTAACCTCCTGGTGCTGATTTGCGTGGGTGCTGCCCAAGCCTCTGTCGCAGGCTTCACGTCCCTTGGTGGCTTGGGCACTGGATCCTTTAGCCTGAATTCGGCCTATAGCCCCTTTGAGGGCATGGAGCTCCAGGAGGTGAGGGAGCTGGACATGCAGTTCACACAGATGAGAGCCCCTTGTGTGTATGGCGGAGTAGCCTTCAGCTTAACAGCAGCAGTACTTACCCTCGTCTTTCTTGTCATGGGGGCAAAACCCATTCAGCAGCTCAGGCTGGGGCTGCTGGCAGGCGAATGTGCCTTCAACCTGCTGGCTGGTGTGGCGTACATCGCGGCCGTTGGCCTCTACCTGCATTTCGTCAGCCAGGTGAACTCCACGGAAGTTTGCAAGAGGCGCGAGAGGCTGTACGCGCGCCGTGGCTATACCTCCATGAACTGCGTGGTCCAGGGCGGCGACGCGGCCGTCGGCCTTTTTGGTGTCGCTGCTGCCTGTTTGTACTTTGCCAGCTTTGTGGTCTGCGTCCGTGATATCCCAACTGTCTGGGCCTTCCAGAGCCACGTGGCCAAGGCTCAGCACAGCCCCCAAAGCAGCGTTAGAGACAGAAGTGTCAGAAACCACCGTGCCATCCACAGGAGCTCTGAAGGCTCCCACAACATCCAGGCTCTTGCCACGTTGGTGTGAAGCTCTGGGACTGTGCCAGAGAGCTGGAGCTTCAGCAAGGGACAGACACTGAGCGTTGCATGCTGAACAGGTGACCAGTCCACAACGTACTGTCCTACAAGGTGCTGAATTGGGTATCAAATCACCAAATGTAACAACACTGCTATAAGATGATGTAATAAAATTGATGTTGAGCAGATGTTTTAACAAGTTTTTTTTGCATCAATGCTGGACTCCTGCATTTAGAATGTGTTTGATTGTACTGTTTGCATCTTGCACAGAGCAAATCCAAACAGCAGCAGGCTGTTAACAGGTTGCAACCACAGTGCTGCCAAAGTCATGCTAACAACCACTTCCTCTCCTCTGCCATGACATAAGGAATTGAATACACAGCTAGTATGGGCAGCCTTCAACAGCTCCTGTGCCCATCAGTGCATCCTGTTGCCTTACACCGCACCACTCATGGAGCAGAGGACACTCGAGTGCTTTTCTGAACCACAGCTGAAGCTACACGTGAGACCTGTTTCACTTGGGCTAGTGAAATGTTTTATCTTTTGAGTCACGGGGGCTGACACATGCTGATCATGTGCTCCCCGAGGAATGCTGCTGGGAGGAATTAGCTGCAATTTCAAAGGCAGCCTTTGGGTCCTCCTCCAGTTCTCTACTATGTTTTCCCTGTCTCACTGACTGCAGATCAGAACCTGAGAGGCAGCACATCGGTCAGCTGTCAGCTTAATAAAGAGACCTTTACATGAGCCTTTACAATAAGTATTTATCATTTATATAATACGTTAAATATCTCTAACACTTTGAACATAAAGAATTTTCATGGCATTATTATGCTTATGAAGAGACAGGAGTGAAAAGTTTTTCCAAGCTTGCCGCGACTCACAGTAGTGACAGAGTAATGAAATTAAGACTTCGATTTCTAGCTCTTTGCCCAAAGCCAGACCTTCACTGGTATGCTGTAATCGGCTGGAAAGTCTGTTACAGGGATGTCTGTCATGCAGCTAAAGCCGCAGCTAACCACTTGTTAGGCATTTCTGCCTGTGCTACCTGTACTTCTTGTACATTTTGAACAGAGGCTTAATTACATGATGATACACTGTTACTAACTTATACGAACAACAAAAAGCAGCACCTTGAAGTGACACACTGAAAAGATTAGAAAAGGCTGCAGATAAGAATGTATAAATCTGAGTCCTTAAATACATGTGCAATATGAATTTTAATCTCAGGGCTTCTTACTCTGCCCCATTCATTTTTGAACGCTTGCCTGCCATCACTGTGCAATAGCTACCATCCTCTGTGAGCATTGATTCTCTCTCTTTTCCTTGTGTGTGTGTAGCAAGGGCCTTATTTGTTGCAAGGTAATTCAGTCTCTAGAAAAAGATGCACAGTTTCCCTGTGGATTATTGCTGTAGTGTTCCTCCCTTGGACACTTAGGTTCTTCACAGTCAATCCATTTTGGGTCTGTTTCCTGTTAACAGAAGAAATGTTAGGCATTTTACAGGGAGAGTCAAAAAATAGCTGCTAGTTACAGGTGCTTTGTTGGAGACTCCTGGGACCCGCTCGCTGCCCTGAGTATCTGGTCAGTCCCAGTCGTGTTCTCTCAGCTCCTCGCCCAGCTGCCTCCCTGCACTTGCCATCCCCTTGAGTTTCTAACTTCTGCAGCCTTGTGTTTATTCCTTATATCTAATTGAAATCTCCCCTCTTTTAGTTTAAAACCATTACCCTTTGTGCTGTCACTACAGGTTCTGGCAAAAAGTCTCTCTCTATATTTCTTATCAGCCCCCTTTAGGTACTGGAAGGCTGCTATAAGGTCTCACCAGAACCTTCTCTTCTCCGGGCTGAACAACCCCAACTCTCTCAGCCTGTCCTCACAGGGGAGGTGCTCCAGCCCCCTGAACGTCTTCGTGGCCCTTCTCTGGACCCGCTTGAGTCCATGTCTTTTTTATGCTGGGGGCCCCAGAGCTGAACACAGCACTGCAGGTGGGGTCTCACCAGAGCAGAGTACAGGGGGAGAATCACCTCCCTCGGCTGGCTCATCACACTTCTCTTGATGCAGCCCAGGACACAATTGGCTTTCTGGGCTGCAAGTACACCGTGCTGGCTCATATTAATTTTTTCATCCACCAACACCCCCAAGTCCTTCTCCACAGGGCTGCTCTCAATGCTTTCATCACCTAGTCTGTACTGGTACTGGTGATTGCTGCGACCCAGGTGCAGGACTTTGCACTTGGCCTTGTTGGAGCTTTGCGAGGTTCACATTGGCCCTTCATTCTCATGTGTTGAGACCCTGACAGTTCCCTCTGGATGGCATCCGTTCTCTCAAGCATACCAACTGCACCACTTAGCTTGATGTAATCTGCAACCTTGCTGAGGTCCTGAAGCGCTGCAAGCAGAGAGATCACAAAGAAAGCCAAGGCCCAGTGATTGCCAGCTTCTCAAAAGCTTTGTGCCTCAAATTTGTTTCCTTCCCTGCCACCATGAAGAAAGATCACTAGGAAATAATAATGAAATCAACATCATTGCTATTTCTTCCACTCACCTTCATGGAGAGAAGTGTAGGAAAGGAGAGGGGAAAATCCCAGAAATACTCATCAGAGGACTAGGGGGCAGGGAAGATTTCCTTTCCCTCGGGATGACGGGTGAGCCATATACCATGAGAGCAATCCACACAACCCTGCTTCCCAACTATAACAAGACCATGTGTGGTATCTTGTAGCTGACTTGAAAATCTTTACTGTGCAAGCTGGGAAGGTGTAATACAAAAGCAGAGATTTTCTGGCACAAACATACGACTAAGGCTGCAACAGGCTGTCATCCCCAGCTGCCTCTGCAGGTGGTCCTACCCTCCTGGGCAGATTAGCCTTCCCACCTTCTGCTGCAGATGGCTGTGCCCCACCATTACCTCTGTGCAGAGACTGCCAGTTAGTATGGGACAATAATCCGCATTTGGACCGGTAAACAAAGGCAGGGCAAATGGCTCCTGTCAGCCCTGCCACCTCTTGTAGCCTCTCCCTGCTGCCCACCCTGTGCATGCATGCACCACCTGTGTGCAACCTGCAGGGTCAGCAGTAATAAACTCATCTGCTTCTTCGAAGCAGCCCCTCGCAGGCCAGTTTCACCTGCAGCCACAGGACTGCACGCAATCATCACCCTCCGTCCCTCTTTGGCGAGAGGGATCCTCAGGGTCTACCCAGCTTGCCCACTGTGACCTCCATTGGCTTATCACCTCCTGCGAGGGAAACAGTGATAGCAAAGGTCAAATCTGTGCTCCCCTGAGAGCTTGTCTTTTGGGTAGACAGTATGACCTCTCTCAACCTAAAAGCCTCAGGGGCCCCATCACTGATGCAGCAGGAAACCTGGCATGCCAAGCCTATTCTGAAACTTCAAAAGGAGGAATAAAATGGCCACCAGACGGATGCAGTTTGCAGGGTGAACTGGAACTGCCTGACAGGAGGAAAGCCCCGCTGCAGACGATGGGTCACTGGTGCAAGGTGCTGGGGTAAGCTGAGGAGCTCATTTATCTCAGGGTTACCCGCGAGACCCTCAGCCAGCCCCCTTTGGATTTAAACCATCAATTTGCACATCTCCAACATGGGAGCAAACAGCTTTAGTCTAAGAGCAAAGCCTCTGGCTGAGCTCCCCAGCCATTAACTATGCACAAAGAGACTTGCAGAAAAACAATCTCTCTTTGAAAAATGTATCTCCATCTGGAGAGGGAAACAAAGGCCATAAAATATTTACGATTATTGTATTAAAAAAGAAAAGAAAAGAAAAGAAAAACTCCACTCCCCCTGATTCTGTCTCCCACTGCTGAGTAAACTGCCATGAAAATTTTGTCATGCTGACTTGTGTACCTTTGAGCAACCATTTTCATGCATGTCTCCTTTGTTCAAATAATAGTTCATAAAAGTAATTCAGTTTGAGGGAAATCTTGTCCACAACAGAAAATCAGCATCCAAAGACACAGATGTCTTGTTTCAATGTAAAAGGAAAAATCGTGGGGGGAGAAGCCAGAAAGGCTTCCAAGTAGGCTTAACATACCTCTACACTTACCAAATAATTCAGGTATCTGGAACTGTAGATCCGGCACTGCTGGAAGATCTGGATGTGTTAGGGCATTGCCCTCCTGCTGCTGATCAGCTGTAAGGAGAAGAGACCTTTGTACCTATCTGCAGAAAGGAAATTTTCAGGTAAGCACAAACAAGTTTTCTTATTTTCTTAATCAGTTTAGGAAAACATTCCTAGAATATATTGAATTTTATCACAATTTAAGCTTTTTCCATTAGTCCTTCAGAAATGTTTGCATGTACCCAATGTAGAGAACAACTAGGGACCAGTTGTGCAACAATAGAAACTGAATCCAAGGCTTAGTGGTAAGAAAAGCTGGGATCTCAGTTTCCATGAGAAACTACTTTAAGCGATGAGAATACATGCAGGGATTAAAGTACCAAAGAACAGTCTGAATGGAAATTGTTCTTTCATAATCTGTGTATTTTAATCCCAGTGCAGATTTATCTTCATTACTCTTCTGGTCATTTTCCACCACAACTTACAGTCATTGTAAGTTAAGTAAGGCTACAGGTACATTACAGACCTTCGGTAACTCTCAGTTACATTTGCAGAACTTGTGTGTCTCGGTCTCTTTTTCAAGACTCAGGTAAGTTATTGAAGGGGACTATGACCGTGTTGTTTATGACAGCCTTGACATTCGTCATTAACTCATCTCTCTCACAACATCCATCTCCAAGAAAAGGTGGTGCTCAGTGTACTGCAGCAGCTTAATACCAGCACAGCATAAAAACTGTCACAGATGCTCACCATCACCCGTCAGAAATAAAACATGAGACTCCTTGCAAGGGCCATGGGTTGTCAGGGCATTGGATGTAATTGGTTTTGGCGTGTGACAGTGCAAAACGAGCAAGTCACAGTATGTCCGTCATTACCACAAGTACGTCTATTGATTTCCAGCGATGCCGTTCGCACACGTTCCTGCACCTGCTACCGCACTT